AAGCATTCTTGTGCAGCAATGTTTTAATGAAAGGCAAATGCAACTTTTACTAAGCCTGACCCACATTTTCATCCTTTTATGTAACTTCCCCAGGGATGTCAACCCGTTATTTGGATATCGGGAAATAATGCACCTCGCCCATTGAAAGAAGAGGACATGAGACCTTCATCCTCTCACAGTCATCAGTCGTGCTCACCCTGAACATCCAGGATAGCTGTAGATTTTCTGGAATCATTCAAAGGGTGTATGTGGTCGTCTGTCACTTTATATATAAATGAATAGATAAATAGCAGTAGCCGAGGCTATGCCACTCATGCTAACATCTCCAACTTTAATAGTAACTCCCAACATATTATTACTCCCACCAGACAAAAACATAGACACCAATGTATAAACCTATTAAAAATAAGTAATACAGATGTTTCCGTTCTTTATTTTGGTACTTGCTACATAAAGGAACATTAATATGAAGATATTAACTCCTTTTTATATGGTAACATAAATATCAATAATAATGGGGCAGCGTGGTTTTAATTGGTCAGCACATACACATTAATGCCAAGTGAGAAAATGACAATTATATCAGGTGATTTTTGCACAAGAGATCTTAAAATTGTGCTTTTTCTGCTTCCTTTTGTGTGTGTGTGTGTGCAGATGTGTAGTGCCTATGTTTACTGCTTCCATTGTGGATGTTTGTTAGTGAACATGCATGCATGAACTGCAGGTCCTTGATCTCCTGCATGGAGTGGCACGGAAACGCTCACACAAATACACGCACGCAGACACACAAAAGCTCACACACACACACCCACTCCCCAAACCTAAACAATGATCCATCATAGGAATCCACATCCTCCTCTGGGCCACATCAGTCCCTTTGCTGCGGAAAAACTGATCCCAGAATCGGCTGCTAACTGTCAACTGCAGGACTCTGAGCCGCCCACTCACCACTAGAAAGAGACCACTGTGGACGCACGCATTTAATAGGCCTGCCATCAGAGTAAATGGAGGCTTAGTTTGAGAGCGCTCTGATCTCTCTCTGGATTTGTGACGCTCCCCTTTTTTGGAAAAAAAAAAGAGAGAGAGAAGAAGAAGAAAAAGCCAGAGGGGAGAAAACACAATAGTGGATTTGTTGAGGCTGTAATTGTGATTTTAGTTTTAGTTTTGTTCCTTGTCATTGTAGGTGAATTGTCTGGCTTGTCGCAGCTGTCATCGAGGTTTGTGTGTGGTTTGTGCCTTTGCACTGTGTGTGTGTGCTTTCATGTAGGTCTCTGCTTTTTCCGCTGAACACATGCAGCCATTACAACTGGCTGCTGGCACACATTTACTGACTTTTGTTTCAAGTGGAGATACCACACTTTACCATTTGAAAAAGAAAAGAGAAAAAACACCTGCCTGCCGCCCGAAAATAAAATCAAGTGTTGTGAAATTTGATAAGATAAAGGTCAGCGTGCAAGTCGTAAATTGTTGCAAGTATTATATTATATTTGTTCATTTTGAGTGTGGAAACTGATGGATCCAGTGTGTGTGTGTGTGTGTGGCCATCATCATTAACCACCAGTACCCTTGAGCTGCCCACCACTTCAGCACTTCAGTACGAACATGGCCACCCACACTCCCTGCCCGGCACTGCCATTTATATCAAAGTCCATATAATGGCCCATCTGGGGAATCTGTATGGTTAACTCATCAGCGCCACCACAAGTGCTTCTCTGTGCCAGACACAAAGTGATTTTTTATTTTACCATTTTCCAGTCTCTTGGCAGCTAAGTCGACCAGTACGTAAAGGTGGACGCAGCGAAGATAAATGTTGAGATTTGGTTCACTGACTGTTTTAAACAACATGGTTTTCATGGGAGACTGCAAATGGAGAGTGGGTACGGAGCCGGCGAGTGAGTTTACACTAAAAGAATTATAAATCTGCTCTGACTTTACAGCTTTTTCCATGGCGTGTAGACTACAATTAAAGGAGCAAAGTGAATGAAAGAAGAGCAGCTGTTACTGTAAAAGTTGCGACAAAAATCGACCGTTTTTTAATAAAAATTTCTCTTCCACAAAGAATTTTTTTTTCTTTTGCACTAAAGCAAACAAAGCAGCTGAAGAGGAAAATACAAGAGCGATCGTCACCTTAAAAAAATTCTGTAAACCAATGTGGTCTTAGCACTGGAACCAAATGAGTGCAATCTTCTTTTTTTATATACATTCATTAGAGTCCTAAACCGACATGAGAAAACCAAGCTGATGCAATCAAAGGTACCCAAAAATGAAATTCAAAGAATCAGAAATTAAACTCGCCAAACATCTCTCACATCTACTTACGCCAAAGACGAGAGAACCAGCTGAATTGATTAGCACGAGGCCTGAAAAGACTTTATCAGTGTCCGGTTTCATGCAGGGCATTCTGACTCTTCCCGATGACTCTTCATCAGAGAGAGTCGGGCCTCTCTGCCTGTGGCAAACACACTAACCACTAATATCAGGTTGGCTCAGCAGAGGAGAACAACAGCACGGCCGCACTAACCAGGCAGCTGCAGCTTTCTGCATTACAATATGCTGCAAGAGGGATTAGCCACTCAACTAGGATAACAACAACAATACTAACAACAATAACACAAGAAATTATCATAATTACTCTCAGACCATGTTACACTATATTGTGACATCCGCTACCTTAGAAATGTGGCACACTGTATACAGTAATTGAAAGTCATAATAGTGGATCAATACTAAAGGTGATGCTTCACGTAAGGTTTTATTGAACATCAAACTTCTGAGGGTGATTTTTTTAAAGGGGGTTGGGCAGCTCTGTAGGCACATGGCAGTGCTTCGAGCTAAATGCTATTGCAGTTGGCACGCTAATATTTGCTACTGAAAACATTTAGAGGTGGGTAGAAATTTAGTTTTGTGAAAACAAAGTTTTCTGCAAGTTTGTCATCTTTTTTAATGAAATCTACTTTCATTCACTTTCTTCTTCTTCTTCTTCTTCTTCTTTCAGGTAGCCACAGCAGACTATCTGCCTCATCTCACATGTCCTGTCTTTCACACCGACTGTCGGTCACTGAAAAAACAAAACGTCAGCCACAAGGTGATGCTAAAGTAAAGGTCAAAAGATAACCAAAAGTCATAAAGTAAGCCATTCCCGGAGACCATGCTACACAATGTATATATAGCTTTTATTTTAACTCCAAAACAATTTCCAATCTTGATCTCAAGGTTGCTTACCACCAGTTGCAGCCCTGCAATAAAGATTGCTTATTGCAATATTACTACAAGGACCAAGCCTGGCTGTAGCTCGGTCCTACGCGGAGCTGTGCAGACCATAAGTTACATGTTGCAGCTGTGTACTTTCACCAGGGGGGCATTGTCAAAAACATGTGGGCTACTGTTGTTTGTGTTTATGCTGCCTGTTTTTGCTCCTTTAGCTCAGCACCTGCTACAGAGAACACAGAAGTCATAATGCACAAAGAGCTTCTTTGTGTCGAGGTGTCAGAAACAGTGGAAACTGTCCATTGCAACCACTTTGTGCTTTTCGCGCATGCTTTTTTTGATCTTTTACTACCTTTCCTGTTCAAGCATTCTTATCAACCAGTAAGCCACTGCCTTTTGGTCAAAGCGATGTTGGTTTTCTGGAGGACTGCACAGAAGTGTAGCTGAAGAGCTACCCAAATGCAAACAAGATCTTTAATTCCTCATTATGTGACAACGACTCTCTCCTTTCGCAAAAAGGACCTCACATACTGATCCGTGCAACCCCGAAGCATTGCCCCCTTCATCGTCTTTACGCACCAAATCTCACCAAACCTGGCCCCTCGTGGCACGTTTTGATGTTAGTAAATAATCTCATTCTGCCGTACGACTACCACAACCACCACATTTTCTACCCCGGGAGAACAAATTTCTTGAGTTTACGAGCCAAATCACTAACTCGTTTTGTGATTACTGAAATCAAACAGCAAATGGTGGGAACTGACATCACAACTCAAAACGTGCAAAGAGGTGGGGGGGGGGAAAGTTTGTTTCCATTCAACCAAGCTGTAGCTTTGTGGTTCATCAGCGTGTGAGCGTGTTTGCTGCCGGCTGATTCAAATCTAATACATCAAGCTTTAAATAGCAGGCACGTTGCCTCCACTCATGCAGATTGCACTCTTTTCAGCATTTTTTTTTTGAAAAAGGCACATGAGCACGTCTGGATGTGCGCACATGTGCATGTTTATGTCATCTTCTAAGTGTGTGCGTGTGCGTGTGTGTGTGGAGCAAGGAGTGAATGGCTTGGCTCCACATCAAAGGCCCCTGCGAGTCTCTGCATTAACGAGGCCCTTTGTTTCCTGCCTTCCAGATTACAGCACGTCTCTCCCCGTGCTGCCAGTGTGTTTGGGTGTGCATGTATATGTGTGTGTGTTTGTGCGCTCATATGCCTATGTATGTGTGTGAGTGTGCTGAGGGCACAGTAACCTGAAGACCAAAGGCCAAAGACGGATCCTCCCTCCTCATTTTCTTCGTCTAGTGTAATCAAAATGAAGGAAAAACAAAGGTGACTGCAATTTCTTTTTGCCTAAAATCGGCTTGATAAATTCGAAAAGTTAAGAACTTATATTCAAAAGCTGTGATATTTGTCACGTTTTCCTGAATTTTTGTATATTTTGCAATAAGTTTTTGCAATAATTGTTTTGTGACAATAAATTACAGCACAAAAAAGTTCCTTCAAAGCAGAAAACGTGGAAAATATCAAATCAAGATTCAACTTAAATTAAAGAGCAATGATGAGCAAATGATGACACTTTTCCTTATTTGGGATAAATCATATGTTGAAGCTGTCATGATTCATGTTTGAATAAAATAGCTGCGTGTTTGGAGACGTGTTGGAAGGACTGTAAAAGCGCGGTGCGTCGTTAACTCGAAGAACTGAAACAGTCAACACGCTTTTCAGCAAGACACAAGCGACTTGTCGTGGAATACGTTTCAAAACTAAACTTCCATCTCCCTGCCTCTTGCTTCAAAACCTGAAGCCTCAACCTTCCCTCACCACACACTCTGACAAACCTTGAGGTGTGTGTATGCGTGTTTGTGTGTGTGTGTGTGGTGACATGGGGCGACGCAGAAGCTCTTCTGCTGCTATTTCCAGCCACTATCAGACCCGTTTTGTATGAGCTGGGGCATGATTTGTTGATGCACGTCTTTAAAAAGTTCAGAGCTGTTCCAACCACAGCTCGCTTGTTCTTTCCTCTGAGAACTGGAGGAGAAGAGAGCCAACTGCTTGCACGCCGGCATGAATGTTTCGTTGAGGCAGAGATGTACGTGATTCAAAACAACGCGTAATATCAGATAGCACCAAAGAACGAGGTTGTTTATCATCTGCTGCAAAAAAACAAGCTTTTTTAAAGCGCCTTTAA